CGAATTGAACCTTTAATTAGTATAACATCCTTGTCTCTTGTAACTTTTTTTGTTTTAAAGTCTTTTTTGTCTGGTACTAGCATAGCCACCCACTCTCTCTGTTGGTACTTCTGTTTGCATGAAGTATCTTTCCATCCTCTCATTTTCAACTAGTTTGTGTCTTTGGATCTGAAGTGAGTCTTCTTGTAGGCAGCATATAGTTGGATTATGTTTGTTTTTTTCCATTCTGCCAATGTCTGTATTTTGATTGGAGAATTAATCTATCTATATTTAAAGTAATTACTGATATGGAGGAATTTCAGCTGTTTTGCTATTTGTTTTCTATATGCATTTTATCTTTCTGTCCATGATTTCCTGCATTGCTGTCTCCTTATGTGTTTAGTTGATTTTTTTGTAGTGAGACATTTTAATTCCCTTCTCATTTCCTTTTATGTATCTTGTATAACTATTTTCTTTTTGGTTACCATGGAGATTACATTTAAGGTACTAAACTTACAGCACTAATTTTAATTTATACCATCATAACTTCAGTAACATACAAAATCTCTGCTTCTGTACAGCTCCATCCTTATCTGCTTTCAATTATTTATGTCACAAATTATATCATTATACATTGTGTGCCTAAAAACATAGCCTAATGATTTTTTGTGTGTGTGTGAGGAAGATTAGCCCTGAGCTAACATCCGATGCCAATCCTCCTCTTTTTGCTGAGGAAGAATGGCCCTAGGCTAACATCCATGCCCATCTTCCTCTACTTTATATGGGACGCTACCACAGCATGGCTTGACAAGTGGTGCGTCGGTCCGCGCCTGGGATCTGAACCTGTAAACCCTGGGCCGCTGAAGCGGAGCGCGCGAACTTAACCGCTACGCTAGCGGGCCAGCCTCTCCTAGCGATTTTTTAATGCATTTGTTTTTTAAATCATGTAGAAAATAAAAAGTGGAGTTACAAAGCAAAATTATAATACTGATCATGCATTTACCTTTACCAGAGATCTTTATTTTGTCACATAGCTTCAGGTTATCGTCTAGCATCCTTTCATTACAGCTTGAAGGACTCCCTTTAACAGTTCTTGCAGGGCAGGTCTACTAGTGACAAACTCCCTCAGCTTTATTTACCTGGGGATACCTTAATTTTTTCCTCATTTTTGAAGGACAGTTTTGTCACTGAGAGAATTGTTCATTGACAGGTTTTTTTCTTTCAGTACGTTGAATATATCAACCCATTACTTTCTGGCTTCCGAAGTTTCTGATGAGAAATCTGATAATCTTATAATGTATAAGGGGTCTTTAATAAGTCTTGCTTCTCTCTTGCTGCTTTCAGTATACTGTCTTTGGCTTTGGGTTCTGACAGTTTGATGAAAGTGTATCTCAATGTGAGTCTGAATTTATTCTGCTTGGAGTTTATTAAGCTTCATGGATTTGTAGCTTCCTACTTGCATCAAATTTGGAAAGTTTTCAGCCATTATGTCTTCAGATGATCTCTCTGCTCATTTCTCTCTGTCTTCTCTTTCCAGGACTTCCACAAGGCATATTTTGGTCCATTTGATGGTGTCCCACAGGTCTTTTAGGCTCTGTTCTCTTTCTTCAATATTGTTTCTTTGTTCCTCAGACTCAGTAATTTTAGTTGTCCTGTCTTAGGTTCACTGATTCTTCTGCCTGCTCAAATCTTTTGAATTGCTCCTGTGAAGTTTTCAGTTATTGTACTTTTCTTTTTTCCACCCCCCCCCCACAAAGCCCTAGTAGATAGTTGTTATGTCATAGCTGCACGTCCTTCTAGTTGCTGTATGTGGGACTCGGCCTCAGCACGGCCGGAGAAGCAGTGCGTCGGTGTGCGCCTGGGATCCGAACCCAGGCCGCCAGCAGCGGAGCGCACTCACTTAACCGCTAAGCCACAGGGCCGGCCCGTTATTGTACTTTTCAACTCCAGAATTTCTTTGTGGTTTCTTTTTATGTTTTCTGTCTCTTCATTGATATTTCCATTTTGTTCACCATTTTCATAACTTTGTCCATATCTTCCTTTAGCTCTCTGAACATTTTTAAGGCTATTGTTTTCAAGTCTCTGTGTAGTATGCCCACCATTATGTCTTCCTTAGAGATTTTTTTATCTTTTTGTTCTTTTGAGCCATAGTTGCCTATTTTTTTAATACCTTGTGATGTTTTTGTTGAGAACTGGACATTTGAATTCTATAATGTCAAAACTCTGAGAATCAGATTCTTCCCTTTCCCCAGGGTTTGCTGATTTTGTCTTGCAGGGTGTCTGTGTTTCATGGATCAGCCTGAGATATGAATTGAAGGTTTTCTCACATCTTTTCTGACCCTGTATCTTTTGCTGGACATGTATGGAGACTTTCTAAATTCCTCTGTGCAGTTGCTTTGAATGTTTTTATATTTAAATATATGGTTCCCTAAAGTGAAAAAAGGTAAAATGAAGGGGTGAAAAAAAACAGGCACTGTCCCTTAAATTCCCTGGAAGCTACTTCAGCCAGTGGTGACTATAACAGTGGCACCTGCCATTGTGTCTGCACCTCCATGATCCAAAGCAGTAATCTGCAGTCAGAACCCAGATCCCCAATATTTGGAGAACGAGGTCCTTATTGCCACCTTGGCTCGTGCAAGCCACTCTAGGAATGCTAGTACAGCTGCCTGCCATGGGGCTGCTGACCAAGGCATGGGTGGCAGCTACTGATTGAAATTAATTGCAGTTTACTGGCAAGCTTTTCTCTAGAAGCTGCAGGCCTTCAGATAGATTCCAGAGTTCCAAAATAGTAACCTCAAGACAGATTCTGCCAGTTCAGTTTGCTAGGTGGAGAGACAGAATCCTGGAACTTCCTACTCTGTCATCTTCCCTGATGTCCACTTTTTCTCTTCTAATTCACATTTATTTTACAGTTTTGGCATTTTCTTTTTTCAAGTAATGTTGAAGAATAAGACTTGCATAGAAGTTTCACAATTATGAAGTTAATTGTTTTCATTTGGGGAAGAAATTTTGATAGTTTTCTTACCATCCACCCACCATTGTTTTCAGCTACCCAGAAGGCTCTGGTATTTACTCTTTAAAAATGTTTTATCATTCTATAAGTATTTTAATTTTCTACTTAGAAAGTATGTTTTTTAAGTAAAAATCTTTTTTAAGATCTTGTTAGCTGTATACTGATTTTTTTTAATTCCTTTGCAGAAACCAGAGTTTTAAAATTAGTTGACATGGTCTATAAGAGGAAAAAGTAACCCACTCACTCCCGTTGCAAAAAATGACAGAAAGTGGAAGGAGATTTAATTTTTAGTTTTATTATGGAAAAGTTTAGACATATATAAAAGCATACAGGATAGTATAATGAATTCTTGTGTATCCATCACCCAATTTCAATGGTTATCAACTTATTGTCATTTTTTGTTTCATCTATACCAGTGGTTCTCTGCCAGAGGTGATTTTGTCATTTGTCAATGTCTTGAAACATTTTTGATTGTCACAACTTGGGGTGGTGGAAAGAGTAGGTGCTACTGGCATCTAGTGGTAAGAGGCCAGGTCTGCTACTAAACATCCTACAGTGCACAGGGCAACCCCACACAACAAAGAATTATCTGGCTGAGGTTGAGAAATCCTGATCTTTGTGCAGGATTCAATGTATCTTTATATATTTTCTTTAAAATATCTTTATATAACATTGAATTGTTCTATCCAAGAATAGGAGAGGTTGTTCCACTTGTTCAAGTGTACTTTAACATCATCAAGACTTTTAAAATTTTCCTCATAAATTTTTCATATTTCTTGTAAATTTATTCCTCTAATTCTTTGTTAGTGTAAATGAAGGCTATTGATTTTAGTGTGTTAATTTTATATCCTGCTACTCACTCAATGGTAAAACTCATGTTTTACCATTGATTCTTTGAGGTTTTTTAGATACATCATCTAGTATATCATTAGCAAATAGAGGTAGTTTTATTTTTTCTTTACTCATTCTTATGTCTCTAATTAATTTCTCTTATGTAATTGTATTGGTTAATAAATCTAGTAAAATCTTGACTATTAGCAAAAATAATGAGCATCCTTGTTTTGTTTTTGATAATGTTGGGAATGCCTGTGGTCTTTCTGCATTAAATAAGATACTGGCTTTAGAACTAAAATACATGTATTTTATCATGTTGAGGAAGTATTCCTCAATTCCTGCTTTCTTGAATGTTCTTATTATCAATGGTGCTGAATTTTTTTGAAGGTTTTCTCATTATTTCTAGATATATTCATAATTTCTTCCTTTATGTACATAAAATAGAATGTACTGCAGTAAGTGGTATGATAAGGGGACTGGATTTTTGGAGTTCAGAGTCAAGAAAGGATGCACAGAGGAGTTAACATTTGAACTGAATCTGAAGACTATGGAAAAATTTGGCATGTAGGAAAAGGAGGGAAGACATTCAAGATTAGAAATAATTACAGAAATGAGAATGATGTCTTGAAGATAATTTGAGTCTGTGGTAGGCTTTGGATACCAGACTTCATTTTCCAATTCATACTTCTCTTCTAATCCTTTCTCTCTCTTCTTCATTTGCCTAGTCACTGTTACGCTCTCACCTTCTTTTTTTAAATTTTTTTTCCCCCAAAGCCCCAGTAGATAGCTGTATGTCATAGCTGCACATCTTTCTAGTTGCTGTATGTGGGACGCGGCCTCAGCATGGCCGGAGAAGCAGTGTGTTGGTGTGCGCCTGGGATCCGAACCCGGGCCACCAGCAGCAGAGCGTGCGCACTTAACCACTACGCCACGGGGCTGGCCCTGCTCTCACCTTCTTTAAATGCTTCCTTTATTCTTTTATTCACCCTAGTACTTCAGCCCTCATTCATTATTATTTTATACAGTGTTACTTTCCTATTTTCTCTTTCTATTTTCTTTTAATCAGATAGCAAGCCCTTATTTATATATCATTAATATTTATTCCCTCTACACATTTAGTTTCAGCCAATCACCTGAATCATTGGCATTTTCTTTCTTTTTTTGTTTTTTTCAGGATGTAAGAGCAGTCCTAGAACCACAAAGTCAACTCAAACTCAAGACTCATTATTTCAGGGGCTGATAAGGAAAAGACTCAAAAAGGATGAACCGTGGAACTTCATATCAGAAAAACCCTGCATGTATGAAGACATATTAAAGAAACAGAAGGACAAAAATGAAAGTTTACAAATAATTTCAATCACCCATACGAAAATCCTTACTTTAGAAAAAAGCCATAAAAACAGTGAATTTGGCCAAAATTTCAGCCTGAAATCAGTCTTCATTAAGCAACAGAGAAAAATACCCTCAAAATATGAAATACAAAGAAATACCTTCAAGCAGAATTCAAATTTACTTAACCAACCAAAATTCAAGATAGCAGAGAAACGCTATAGATGTAGTATATGTGAAAAAGCCTTCATTCATAATTCATCCCTTCGTAAACATCAGAAAAACCATACTGGAGAGAAATTATTTAAATGTAAAGAATGTTCAAAAGCTTTTAGCCAAAGTTCAGCTCTTATTCAACATCAAAGAACTCATACTGGAGAGAAACCCTATATATGTAAAGAATGTGGGAAAGCCTTCAGCCATAGTGCATCCCTGTGTAAACACCTAAGAACCCATACTGTGGAAAAATCCTATAGATGTAAAGAATGTGGTAAATCCTTCAGCAGAAGATCTGGCCTTTTTATACATCAAAAAATCCATGCTGGAGAAAATCCCCATAAATATAATCCAGGTAGGAAAGCATCTAATTGCAGCACATCCCTTCCTGGTTGTCAGAGAATTCTTCTCAGAAAGAAGTCCTATTTATGCAACGAATGTGGCAACACCTTTAAGTCTAGTTCATCCCTTCGTTATCATCAGAGAATTCACACTGGAGAGAAACCTTTTAAATGCAGTGAATGTGGGAGAGCCTTCAGTCAGAGTGCATCTCTCATTCAACATGAAAGAATTCACACTGGAGAAAAGCCCTACAGATGTAATCAATGTGGAAAAGGTTTCACTTCTGTTTCACGACTTAATAGACATCGAATAATTCATACTGGAGAGAAGTTGTATAACTGTAATGAATGTGGTAAAGCCTTAAGTTCCCACTCGACACTTATTATTCATGAGAGAATTCATACTGGAGAGAAACCATGTAAATGTAAAGTGTGTGGGAAAGCCTTCAGACAAAGTTCAGCTCTCATTCAACATCAGAGAATGCACACCGGAGAAAGACCCTATAAGTGTAATGAGTGTGGGAAAACATTCAGGTGTAACTCCTCCCTTAGTAATCATCAGAGAATTCATACTGGAGAGAAACCATTTCAGTGTCGAGAATGTGGGATATCCTTTGGCCAAAGTGCAGCTCTTATTCAACATCAGAGAATTCACACAGGAGAAAAACCCTTTAACTGTAATACATGTGGGAAAACTTTTAGACAAAGCTCATCACTTATTGCACATCAAAGAATTCATACTGGAGAGAAACCCTATGAATGTAACGCATGTGGGAAACTCTTCAGCCAGAGGTCGTCCCTTACTAATCATTATAAAATCCACATTGAAGAGGACTCCTTGAAAATAGATTTGCATGTGTGAAAGCCTTAAACCAAAGCTCACCAGAGTATACATGTTTGAGCTAGATTTAATAAATGTAATGAATATGAAAAAACTTTCTAATTTAGCCCTCAACAGAAATTAAAACCCAAGGATAAACCTTGACTATATAATAAATATGGGAAAACTTTCATACCTGTCAGTCAGTTATTAAATTATCTTGAGAAAATAATTCACAGTTGCGAATATTGATTTTGCCCATTTGTAAGATAAAAGATGGGTTTTTATCTATTTATATAGCACTATATGCTATATACAATATGTAAATGAGAGAAAAATGAGTGCAGGTATGCTGGATTTTTCATTAGAAAGACGAATTGTATAAGTTACTAACATTTATTATAACTGACATTTAAAGAGCAAGCAGAAGAATTGATCTTAAAAATATATGCATTTTTAAAGCAAAGGACCAAATAAAAGATAAAAGCAAACTGTAAACTACCTCTTAGTCTCTGGAATTTGCCTTTTCCTAATCTGTTGTCAAACTTTGTGCATAGTTTTCATTAAAAAAGAAAGAAAAAATCCGTTTCCTTCCTCCTTTATTCTTCTTACTTCCAAACTACACCAGTCTTCAAAAATTTTTACACGATTTGTAATTTTGTTCTCAGAATTATTTTTCTTTGTTGCCTTGAAGTCATACTTATTATATAATTGTACTAGCTGTGCTCTGAGCATCATGTAAGGTTCAGGTAAGTAACTAGAAAACACAGTTTGTTTAGGCAGTCACATCAAGGTTAAAGCTATTAATATTTTTTTAGTTGGCTGCAAAAGAAACCTTAAGTAGTAGTTGAAAGAACCTAACATCTGTGGCAGTCTTGGGAAGAAATTAGTTTTTTGAAATAAAAGTCTGTTTTCCCCACTTGGGGTTTTCTAGTTTTTAAAAGTTTAAGACTGCAAAGGAAAATAAAAGAAATCATTCCATACTTCAGAACTGGTTTACACAGGAAATGTTTGTTTAACCCCAGGTTTGGGTCAGGTGCTATCCTGGGCACTGGAAATTGAACAGAAGAAACAGGCTCTATTTTCGAGAAGTCATGAATTGAGGGGGCGAGAGGATGGGGTTGAAGGGAATAACAAGTGAGTAAGCATATTATCATGATGTGTTAAAGTAGTTTTCAGAGAAACAGGTGATGATACTAAGTTGCAGATGTAGAGATTTGCACAGGATGCAGAAAGAAGGAATGGAGCCTAACCAAAGGAGCCTGGAGAGACCTGAGACAGTGTCCCAGAGAGAGTGGTGCCAGAACCCAATTTGGAAGAAGAATAGGAATTCTCCAGAGGCTGAGATGAGTACTTCAAAGAGAAGAAGCCACATATGCAAAGGCACAGGTGGGTGACAGTATGACACATTTGTAGAACATTATAAGAATGAGGAAAATGACAAGTGTTAAAGCTTGAGAAGAAGGAGGAGGCCAGATAACCAAAGGTCTCATTTGCCATTCTAAGGATTTTAAACTTTATTCTGAAATTTATGGAATCAAAGGTTTTATGTGAGGGGAACTGTCCTGGCAATAATGTCTAGAGAATGAATTTAGGAGGTTGAAGACAACTGAACAGATTGAAGCTTAGAATATGGGCTGTTAGAGTAATTTAAATGATGGGTGAGTGAGGCTCTAAACTCAAGCAGAGACGGTGAAGAATATGTGACAAATATTAATGTTGTACAATACATAGGGCATGGTTTTTGCAATAGAAAAGTTGGGAGAGATGAGTCAAGAACAAGGGTAGGTTGACTTCCAAGTTTATACCTTGCTTAGCTGAATGGAGGGAGATGTCATGTACCAAGTAGAAAGTACAGGGGGTGCACAATTTTGATTTTATACATGTAAAATTGATCATAAAATCTAAAAAGGAAATGTGAGCCAGAAGACTAGAAGTAGGAGTAGTCAAAATCATGGTACATGAAATTGGCCAGCAGAGAGCATTAATTAGAATGAGAAACAAAGGGGTAATGGATTAAACCCAGGAAAACATCAATATGTATGGAATTGTTGGAAGAAAAAGAACTAAGAAGAAAAGGAATCGGACTTCAGGTAGGAGAAAAGCTGGAAGAGTGATGTCATTGAGCCCAAAGGGGAAATGAATCTCAGAGAGTTAGTAGTGTTAGATGCCACAAGTCAAGTGATAGGGAAAGGGTAAATTGGAATTAGTAACTAGGAGAACATTGGAGATCTTGGCAAGAGCAATGTCAGTGAATTAGGGTGAACAGAAGTCAGATTATTCTATGTTAGATTATTATAGGAAGGTGAGAACTAATAGGCTGTTGTAGACTGTTTCAAGTTTAAATGAAGGGAAGTAAAGTATTTAGAGGGGAGAAAACTAGGGAGCATTTATATGTTAATGATTGAGGCAATAATGTATACACATGTTGAGGGTGAATTAAAGAAGAGATCACTGAGTGGAACAAATTTTCTGAGATGTTATGAGGGAAGTAGGAGCATAGGTGGAGGAATTAACCTTTACCTGAGGCTGGAGGGAAAAACCTACAGAAAGATGGGATTGCAGATAAATTTTTGTTTCATTTGGAGGTCGTGAAGGAATTTCTGCCTGCTGACCGTATTTTCTGTAAGGCAGAAGGATCTCATTCTTCAGAATTTTTTATTGATGTCATAATAGTTTATAACCTGAAATTTCAGTTGAAAATTATTATTTCTCAGTCACCATATATATGTGCCCCTTTACCCCTTATGCCCACCCCCTCCACCCCCTTCCCCTCTGGTAACCACTAATCTGTTCTCTTTGTCCATGTGTTAGATTATCTTCCACATATGAGTGAACTTGTATGGTGTTTGTCTTTGGCTTATTTCACTTAACGTAATACCCTGAAGGCTCATCCATGTTGTTGCAAGTGGGACGAGTTTGTCTTTTTTTATGGCTTAGTAGTATTCCACTGTCTATATATACCACATCTTCTTTATCCATTTATCAGTCGATGGGCACTTGGCTTGCTTGTGCATCTTGGCTATTGTGAATAATGCTGCAGTGAACATAGGGGTGCACACATCTCTCTGAATTGTTGACTTCAAGTTCTTTGGGTAAATACCCAGTAGTGGGAGCACTGGGTCATGTGGTATTTCTATTTTTAATTTTTTGAGAAACGTCCGTACTGTTTTCCATAATGGCTTTCCAGTTTGCCTTCCCACCAGCAGTGTATGAGGGTTCCCTTTTCTCCACATCCTCTCCAACATTTGTTATTTTTTGTCTTGGTGATCATACCCATTCTAAGAGGTGTAAGGTGATATCTCAGTATGGTTTTGATTTGCATTTCCCTGATGATTAGTGATGTTGAACATGTTTTCATGTGTCTATTGGCCATCTGTATATCTTCTTTGGAAAAATGTCTGTTCAGGTCCTCTGCCCATTTTTTGATTGGGTTGTTTGTTTTGTTGTTGTTGAGGTGTATGAGTTCTTTATATATTTTGGAGATTAATCCCTTGTTGGATATATGATTTGCAAATATTTTCTCCCAGTTGGTGGGTTGTCTTTTCATTTTGTTCCTGGTTTCCTTTGCCTTGCAGAAGCTCTTTACTCTGATGAAGTCACATTTGTTTATTTTTTCTTTTGTTTCCCTTGCCCAAGTAAACATGGTATTCAAAAAGATCCTTCTAAGACTCGTCTCTAAGAGTGTACTGCCTATATTTTCTTCTAGAAGTTTTATGATTTAACGTCCTACCTTTACCAAACCAAGTGGGCTCACCTCCTGGTGAGTTAAATAAGACTCTACACCAGTGGAAGTTGTCTCACAATGTGAAGTGTATTTGCAGCAAGTAGGAGGCCATGAGGAATCATTGCCAAAGTTATGGCATCCCCAAACAGGGAAGGAGGAAGTTTTATTTCGGTTGGGGAATGAATATTCAAAAGGGAGAAGCGGGTATTTGCTTGCACAGGCTCAGCTGAAGAACATGCTTCCACATAATGAGGCCTAAACTCCTCCTGGAGCCATCTTTGCATTAAAAATGAGGCAAAGGTCATTGGCATAGCTCTTGTGATGAGGCTTGGTCAGTTTCAGGATGGCTGGTGGTTACATGTCCCTTGAGTTTCTCACTTGGTGAGTTTCAGGATGATTAGTGGTTACATCTCCTTAACATACAAAAGGAAAAGAAGCAACTTGGAAAACCAGTTAATTGCTTCCAAACCCCGCTTTGAGTTTCTCGAGGCACCTAGTCAGTGACACTACCTTTAAGTCTTTAATCCATTTTGAGTTAATTTTTGTGTATGGCGAAAGATAATGGTCTGCTTTCATTCTTTTGCATGTAGCTGTCCAGTTTTCCCAACACCATTTATTGAAGAGACTTTCCTTTCTCCTGTGTTCTTATCTCCTTTGTTGAAGATTAGCTGTCGGTAGATGTGTGGTTTTATTGCTGGGCTTTCATTTCTGTGCCATTGATCTGTGTGTCTGTACCAGTACCATGCTGTTTTGCTTATTATAGCTTTGTGTAGTATATTTTGAAGTCAGGGATTGTGATGCCTCCAGCTTTGTTCTTTTTTCTCAGGATTGCTTTAGCTATTCAGGATATTTTGTTGCCCTATGTGAATTTTAGGATTCTGTATTCTATTTCTGTGAAAATGTCATTGGGATTCTGATTGGGATTGCATTGAATCTATAGATTGCTTTAGGTAGTATGGACATTTTAACTATGTTTATTCTCCCAATCCATGTGCATCGATTTCTTTCAAGAATGTCTTATATTTTCATTGTATAGGTCTTTCACCTTCTTGGTTAAATTCATTCCTGGATATTTTATTCTTTTGGTTGAGATTATAAATGGTGTTGTCTTCTTGAGTTCTCTTTCGTTAGTTCATTATTACAGTATAGAAATGCAACTGATTTTTCTAAGTTGATTTTGTATCTTGCAACTTTGCTGTAGTTGTTGATTATTTCTAATAGTTTTCTGATGGATTCTTTAGGGTTTTCTATATATAAAGTCATGTCGTCTGCAAACAGCAAGAGTTTCACTTCTTCATTGCCTATTTGGATTCCTTTTATTCCTTTTTCTTGACTAATCGCTCTGGCCAAAACCTCTTACTATGTTTACTAAGAGTGGTGAGAGTGGGCACCTTTGTCTTGCTCCTGTTCTCAGAGGCATGGCTTTCAGTTTTTCACCATTGAGTGTGATGTTGGCTGTAGGTTTGTCATATATGGCCTTTATTATGTTGAGCTCCTTTCCTTCTATACCCATTTTATTGAGAGTTTCTATCATAAATTGGTGTTGGATCTTGTCAAATGCTTTCTCTACATCTATTGAGATGATCATATGGTTTTTATTTCTCGTTTTGTTAATGTGATGTATCAC